CCCCCCCCCCCCCCCCCCTCCCTACCCCCAGGCCTCTGTTGCTATCCCACCCGCTACTCGGGAAACAGAAGGAAATCGCACTCAACACACTTGTGTGTTGGTGCCTTTCCTTCTGTTTCTCCTAGCTATTGCTAGCTACCCGGGCGGTTTAAGACGAATGTCCCGCTCGCCTTCTACTTTCGTTTAACTAAGTGGGCCTCGTAACTACCTAACTTTTCTTTCTTGCCCTCTTAGTCTGCTCTTGTTTCGTTGCTTTTTCTGTCTTTCCCAGGCTTTTTAGGTGTCTACTAGTTCTTCGTTGCGCCAACAATTTGGCGCTTTTTGTACAAATGTTCCCCTGGGAGTTAGGACGCTACTGGAGGCCCCTGGCCTTACTACTACTTTGACCGCGCCGAAAACGGCTCTGTGTGTGTGTCCACCCCTGGACAAAGGGTCTTCCACCACCACTCTTTCCATGCTTTTCAACTACCTTGGACAACCACCTTATATAGGCAGGGGAGTGGAGCAGGCCTGCAGAGCTCCACTTAACAAAGCTCTCTGCAGTGCCCTGAGGATATCGGCCAGGACGCTGGCCGACGTACCTGCTCGTTCTTTCACAAGCTGTGACTCCACTTTTCCACTTTTTGATTCATGGTCCTTCATGTTTCCACCCCCAAACCTCAGTTTTGCAGCTGATTTGAGCCGTCAGTTCACCACCGCTGATATGCAGCCGAGTCAAGCGAAACAATCGATTTTCAAACACTTCCAAGTTGTCGGACTTTTCGCCATGCTGTTCTATCGCCTTCCTTCCCAACGTGGCAATTGCGTTAACTGAAAACCCAAGTTCGAAGTGTGTTTGTTTGTTTGGTTGATTGCTCACTCACTGGCTCGCTTGCTTGCTTGTTTGGTTAGCTTCTTGTTTGGTTCGTTGCTTGTTTGGGTGGTTGGTTGCTTGTTTGCATTCGTTTGCTTTCTTGCTTGCGTGCTTGCTTGCCTTGCTTGGTTAGTTGCTTGCTTAGTTTGTGGCTTGTGTTGGTTGGTTGGTTGGTTGCTTGCTTGTTTGTTTGTTTGTTTGTTTTGCTTTATTACTATTATGCTGTTGTGTGTGTGTGTGTTTTAACAGGGATACCCCGGCTGCTCGAGTGAACACAGGTACATAAATCGATCCCCAAAAAGCCACTGAGGAGATGATGGGAAGATTGGGGAGCCCATCACGTGCAACCATCACGTAGCAACCACCAGTGAAGGCTTCCAGACGGATTGAGAGGATCCGGAGATATACTGTAAGCCGTTGGATACCACCAGCACCTTCACCAGCCTCACCAGAGGGTCTGAGACTCCTCCAAAGGGTCCAAGAATCCTCCAACTTTCGCCTGATGGAAGCTGAGATCCACTCGAGCCTCATTTGAGCGTAAACCAGGTATGGTTTCAACTTCACCTCCAAGAAAGCCGAGACCGCTGAAGGCGGCACACTTTGGCAGTCTCTTGACTGGCTCAGGAAAAGCACGAAGGAAGCCCTGGTAGTTCAGCTAGGCTGGTAGTTCATCCAGGTAGGAGGTGGCCCATGGGGTCCATCTAGGGTAGATCCTAGTGTACTGTATTGTCTTGCATATTTGATATGAGACAGATTTGCGTATCAAGCAGTAATTGCCCTACCGTTTGCAATGCCGAAAGTAGGGCTGGGGCAACGCTAGCCGTTTTGAACTGAGAACAACATGATTCTGCAAACGTTGATTCTTTCCAGATGTCATGTCTATGGCCGAGGCCACCTTACAGAATCTTACCCAGTCCACAGTTTGTTTTGTTCAAACTTTAATTCTAGACTGGATGAAAAACAACAAACACACACTTGAACCAATATTGCTTTGTGGATGCTGGCCTTATTGGTGGATTACCCAGCCGTTCGAATCACCTAAGGATCAACACAAATGGCGAGGTCGGCGGTGCGTCTACGGCGCCTGCGGTGTTCTCGATCCCGAAAATGAACAGCACAGTTGAACTGGGGCTGTGAAGGAATATAATATACTACTCTTGGCGTTTGACATGTTGGGCATATTTGGGCATGTGTTTATGTTTTTGCATCTTTTGACCCGTTGGACACCAGCGATGTTTTTCTTGGAATGATGTGGTCCATGATCATCGACTGGGGATGGACTTTGATATACTTTGACCATCAAAGATTTCGATGGATTGAGAAACATGTGTGTTCGGCTACCGAGCGCCCATCTGCAGAGTGTAAGCCGAGCTCCCATCGAATGTAACAGGTGTTCCACGGTGGGAAGGGCAAGTGATTCTTTTGACCCATCCCATATGTGCCGCCCCATTGACGCCCCAACCCACCCCAACAGATCGGCATATATGGCGCGGCATACTGGAGCATCTGGGCATGTGCAATTTGAGTCACTTCTTTCTGTGACTTGATGTAAGTGTTCGGACAGTTCGAGCACATTTCAATCATTCGACAAGACGTTTGACTCAGTGTCTCTCTCTACCACGAGTCAACTGAATCTCCCACCGAACCTCCCACCAAAAGGCCTACAACCTCTCCTTCCTGATTCAGCGAGAAGAGGACATTTTACTGCCACCTTTGACATGCTTAGAGGCGGGCACGATCGAATGCCACGTGTGGACCCGCACATCCAATCCTTTCTTCGGTCCCGACCCCGGTGTGACCATCCCCCCTCGGTGTCCGATCGAACTTCCGGCACAACTCGACCCCCCACATGTACATCACTAGTGCATAGAATTAGGGTCTGTCCGTTCTTACCTGTAACCGCCAGTAAACAATCCTTGGGGATCCAAGTACCTTCTCAGAAGGTACTTGGACCCTCCAAACCTACATAACAGTGTCTCCAATCACCTTCTGAGAAGGTACTTGGATCCCTACAAACAAGGTCTTTACTAACCATCATCATCCACTGTCACAGGTCTTAGGATAGACCCAACGTAGAATCAGTAAATGATACACAAGGAAACAAATAGAGCAGGACCCTCAAAGTGACCTCTTTGGGAGTCTTTGTTCGTGACCGGCCTGACCGGCCTGGCGAAGTGACCGAACATCCTGAGGGACTGAAGGTCCTGGTCACGGACCGTTTGGTCTTGGTCATGGCTCCTTAGCAAAAACCGGCCCTTGAGGTTTTTGGAGGTTTGGCTGTAGTCTCCGGGAGGTTTTAGACCTTCGTGGTTCTTTTCCAAAACTCCCACAATGGAACCACACGCACCACCCAAAACCTCCCACGTTCACGCACACCCCACGTGCTCCACGCCGACCTTCACGCCGCTCCACGCCACGGTGCCTCCCACGGTGCCTTGGGTTCCACGGGTTCCACGGCGGCTTCTCAGGTGGTGTCCTGTCATCCTGATTCCATGGGACCGGATATCATCGTCTTCCAACAGGTGGGTCTTCCAATGACCTGCCCCTTGGAAGGCCGGAGAGGACCCAGCGGGAGCGAGGACGGCGCAGGGGGGTTTGGTGCATGGGGGTCTTGTTTTGGGGAGCTTGCTGATGAGGCGAAAGAGGTGGAGGTTTGTGGTTCAATATGGTGCAATATCATAGACAGAAAATGATGAAACTAGAACTAAACATGTCAATTTGTTGGCAAATGTTTGAAGGGTCACGGTTCTTGCGTTCTTTAATTCTGTTTCTTGGAAGGGGAACTTGAATCCTCGGATCTTCAGGTCTTCAGGCACATTGAATAAATGAATGGAGACACAGCCCATAGCCCTACAATCATCTACAATCTACAACCCATGAACAAACTCCATCTTGCCGCATGACCAGATGAATGCGGTGACAGCATGTTTCATGTCTAAGAGGTGCATATATACTGTATGATTGGATCGCATCTTTTTTGGATGATCGGGCCGCCCACCCGAGGGTTCCAGTTGACCTCTGGAACCGTCCGGGGCGGATCTCTCTCTCGAGCGAAGTGGAACAAGTGGTTCCACAGTGAAGGCCGACCTGACTCTTCATGAATCTTATACCAGGGCCCCCGGTTTTGGGGATGTCTAATTATAGATCCTTGGCACCCCAAACAGGGGGCCCTGGTATAGTACATCAGCCTTTAGATTTCTTTAGCCCAGTGGCTAACCTTTCTGGGGATTGGTTGTTCCAAAGGTACAGAGGAACCAGTGGAACAAAAGCTTCCGTTTGACACGTTCCGAGCACGAACCTGAGTCGAATCACGACTTAGTGCAACTTCAAACCACTCCCTACTCCACTCCCTATAGGTCCAGTCTGACCCAGTAAAACCATGTAAAAAACAAGGTCCCGAAAACCTCGATTGACCAGAAGAAGAGTGGTGTGACATTCTATGACCAACTCCAGGTTTCATGAGGTCCGTTGCTGATCTGTATTCGATGTTGGAGTTCTTTTTGGAGCTCCCAGATGAGGTCGACTCCTTCCGTCGAAGCTTCGGCCGAAGCTGCCGTGAAGCGACGTCTTCACTCGATGTCTTCCTCCGCCGGGAACCGGCAGGTTGTGAACAGATGGTTCGAGCGGAGGCATCCGAAAGGGTGGAGCGAAGGGGAGGAGCGAACTTGACAGGTGTCGCGTGGGTGTTGCAGGGACCGCGTGGGGTTTTAGAAGTTGGGAGCCTCCACCACCCACTACTAAGTTGTCGTTCTTTTTGGCAGTCTGGAATGCCATGGAGCTTGTGAGTCCAACAAGAGTCCGGCCCAAAGCTACAGGCGACTGGCTTCACACAACTCTAGCAGGGCCTGGCGACCATCGTCCCACTTAGCCTCCATGGACGTACCCAGAGAAGATTCACCAGCACAGCCCTGTTCGGATGGTGATCGGATGGTAAACCAATGGTGGTGCGGAAAGTGGTGTGGTGTGTGCTATAAATCACCCGGCACTGGGTGGTACTGGCGCATTGTCACATTGCACTTATGTTACAGTAGGTCCTTGGCGTCACCGGCACATTGGTCATAGAATTTGAGCATTTTCAGAGTGGACATGAACTTCTGAACATGGTGGGGTATACTTGGGCAGATGTGATGGATTCGTTCAAGAGAAGCAGTGAAAGATCCTAGATCATGTCAAGACTTAAGAGAAGCTGTTCCTTCTTTTGTACTCCCAAAGCACCAAAGCGGAGAAGGTTTGCGCATCCAAAGAATCTCCCATGGTCGGGCAGATTCATGACCACCTCCCATTCCTGACTGGGTGCAACTTGTTTTAGAATAAGGGAAGTTTCGGCCCCAAACAGCTGAGCTTTCCATTGAATCCAGCCACCCTCATGGTACACCAATAGAAGCCCAAGTCAAGAACCCAGATGTTTAGATCCACATCATCGACTTATCGACCCGACAAGTCTTGAAGGACCCAACAGCTGTCCTGTGGGGTGGGATGTCGAGGATATGGCGGAGCACGTGTCGCAGCACTTCACCAGTTATTGGAGCTTTGACCAGTTTTCGCAGCAGCTGGCCATCCATGGCTTCGTCCCTGAGAAGGACCGGGAACCTGAGTTTTGGACCAGGTGAAAGAGTGGCTTTGTTCCTGAACCACTGAACGGGCCTGAACGGTTTGGTCTTTGTCGGAATGGAACTCCGTCCGCCCAAAAGGGCCCCAGGGCTCAGATTCCCCTGTCACTACCTAATGTGTTGAAGCGTGCTGTCTCGGTTGATACTGGATACTGGTCTGTGTTAGATGGTCCAACGTCCTATGGGTCCCAAACAGAGGTTCATGTCCGGGTTCCAGGTATATCATGGTATCTCTATCTACTCCATAAGGGGGTCCCCAACGATCCCACCGGTCACATCTCGCTCCACGTGGACGGCCCCGCTCGGACCGGGCGGACCGGGCGGTGCGGAAGGAGGGACGGTGTGGAGTTCGGTGGATGCGGATGTGGAGTCCAGTATTCTGGAGGTTTTTTGTTTATTTGTATTTCTATTATGTTTAAAAAAGGGTGGGGGATCTACGAATTGCTCCGTCAGGTCCATTCAAGGTCTACGGATTCTTTGAAGAATTGATTTGTGTCATTGGATCACCAATTCATATGTTCAGAATGGCGTGGGAGTCAAAGAGTAAAGACAGAGGGGTGGAAGTGTGACAATGCCCCCGCTCCAGAAGTCACAGTCTCTTGGTTGTTCCAAGAGTAGATGCCCACACGTGAACATTGCCAGTAGACCAGAGCTGGTTCAGGCTCAGGTTTTCACCCGTGGGATTCACATGGTATGTCATGTCCTTCAAAAGAAAGGACCCATCCACATGGGTTCTACGTTTGGTGTTCATCAACGGATCATCAACGTGTCTTGAAATCAACTGTGATACTTGAGATACTTGAGGAATAATGTCAAGAATCAATCCTCCTTGGGATGAATCCATGTTCAACCGTGTTTCTTGGGATAGTCGCTGACAGGAGCTCCGGATCTTGGTTTCCATGCTGAAGCGACTGGGGCGGAATCTGGCGGAATGGGGTGCCGAGCGGCTGTGGCTTCCACTATATAGTTACTATGCGGATCTACCGGATCTGAGTGCAGATCTTTCGGATTGAAGACCTTCAATCTTGATGTTTCTCTTCAATCCAAGCTCCGAAAGGGCCCCGAAACCCGGTTTGTTGGACCACTTTCGCAAGATGTAGCAGTGGCTTCGCCGACCTCTCGAGGTCGCCAGGGTCCAGTCGCCTCTGGTGGCGTTTCGCCACCCGCGGGTGCAGGAGTTCTTCCTTCACTTCTGCAGGTCTCTTAGATCCCTGGTTCAGCTATACCTAGGACATTCTAGAACCCAACTTCATCCCACAAAACGGCCTCCAAAGGCAGCCTTCTCACCTGGGCATTGGTGAGTGACCTGACCAAAACGACGGATCATCGAGGATCAGTTGTGAACACTTGATTGGCTGAGCCCGGCTGAGCCCTCTTCTTCACTCTTGGGATGTCGAGTTTTTTTGGGGGACAGAGAAAGCCATTCGAATAGAATCCAACTGGGGGGGGGGCGTGCTCAATGGAGCTCAAATGTAATCTGACATTCAACATTCCTGACCCCACTTCAATCACCATATCAATATCAAAGTATTTTTTTGGGGGGGCCCACCATGAAGAACAAGTGAGCATGAAGATTTTCAACGTGTGATCTCCGCAATAGACACTTTCAAGCCAGTTCCACTGAAGTTTACAGACTTGATTGCTTCAAACCCTTGAAAGCATGTCAACCAAATCTCCCCGGAACAGCCCAACAAAAAGCACACCGCCTCACAAACCGCCTCACAGTCCCATCACCTTCAAGGCTCTCTCGCAAGGAAGACACACCCCTGCCCCTCACCCCTCACTCTCGTCCCACCTCGTCCCTTCAACTCCGACCCTTTGGGCCTTGGACACCCCACCAAGCCGCCAACAAACCTTCCCACCCAACCTCCCGCATACCTTCACACACATCGACACCCATCACCCCTCCCCCCTCCACCTCCCAACCACCCCCCAACCCGCAACGCAAGAAACCTCAAGAAACCTCTCCCTACCGCCCCTGGTCTTCCTTCTCGTCCATCCCTTCTCCGTCCCCTCCAAGGACCCCTGCGCGGGTCCGCGCGCTCGAGCTGCAACACACCGATCTGGCGGACACGGGCACGGTGATCCTCGCCGAGGCGCGGACAGTTGGCGGGTCCCTCCCGGAGAACAGGGAGTCCGGAGGAAGGGCGACTGACATATAAACAGGGAGTCCGGGGAGAAGGCGAGGCGTGCCATGTTTTCGCGCTTTTTTTCTGTATCCCGCCTTAAGCATCCTTAATATATAATTTCAACCTCTCAGCGATGTTTGTTGCTGTGTGTTTGTGTGTGGGGGAGGGGGGCAGGGGGAGGCTTCAACAAGTTCTCATGGATTGATTGCAATCATGTTAGAGTCAGAGCAAAATCTCCTCCAAAGGGCCTTGCCATCCACTTCCATGTTGGTTGGATTTCGCGTTGTGAGGTGATCAAGCAGCAGAAAATGTTGTTTGGTTCGGTTTGGTTGCTGATGTTGAGGATACATGACTCAAGTGACTCAACATTGGGGCCTGGAGCCTTGATTGAAATGGTGTTAAGATTTATACAGATGTTCAAACACATGATGCTCCTGCCACTGTGTCCTTCAGCCAAGAACTGTGATGAACGCGCCCTGCAAACAGAATGACAATGAGTTGTATGCTTCGTACCATCATCCATCATACCCATGACCGCTCGATGCCGGCACGATGCTTCAATTGACTATAAATGATTGGTGAGTCATGCCATGACTTGGTCCAACAATGCCTTTTGTCTTGGTCCAACAATGACTTGGTCCCATTGCCGTTATCTTGCCATTGTTGTCTAACAATTCGTTCGTTTGTTGGAAAGAACTGATCTTAGAGACAGCGGCCGAGATCGACAGCGGCCGCTGTCTCTCAGCCGTCGATGTGCGCGGACTCGCTGCCGTCGTCCCTTCCGTGCCTTCGATGGAAAGAAGACCAAACGACCTACACCGAGCGACCTACACCAGGCATGAGTCAATGACACTTCAGGCCACCCAAAGAAGTTGGCAAGTCCAGTTGTCGGTCTCACTTCAGGTCTCCAACTTCCCTCCCACGGCACTGAAGCTCCTGTTCTGTCCGTGGCCACGCCGCGGTGGACGTTGGACCGGTGCTCCCGGGTGCGCCGGTGCGCCGGAACTCGGCGCAGGCGATCAAGGTGAACCACACGGTGAGCCATGTGGCCTTGCGATCGAGCCTCGGCCGTCGATCGGGCGAGCGGGTGGCGAGCTTGCGGCGGGTATCGGAGACGTGCTGGACTCCGTCGTCGAAATGATGGACAGATCGATTTGGATACCTTTTTCACTAAGGAGATGAGGTAAATGTGTGAAGAACTAGCACATACCATCACATACCTATATACTATACACATGCATGTGGAAGCTTGTTTGCTTGTGTCATGCATTGGATGTGTTATGATGTGTTACATGTTCTACCCAGATGTGGTTGGGGGTTCTACGGCCATCCTTTGTAAGGTAACCTGTGTAGAGGCTCAAGCGACATCAAACTGCTGGAAAAGAAGCTTGCGTTGCAGAAGTGTACTTCTGGGAAAGGTAGCAGACCGGAGCTTTATGCAGAAGGGTAATTTCGAGTGGGGCGCTGGACTTGTGTTTTCTCGTAATTCAGACAGCATGTATCTAGAAGGATTGTGTGTGTGATTGTGTTCATCCTATAGAAAATCATTGTGTTCATCCAGCACAAACATGTGTCAAGATGTTATCGTTCAGATGTTATTGGGATAAACCTTTGTCGGAGGACCCACCAATTCTGCTAGGTTCCAGAATGATGCCACATCGCTCCAATCGGCTCCAGCCGTGGAAACGGCCCACCCGAGGAACCTGATCGCGAAGCGCGGCGCCACTGCTTTGGCCGAAGCGTTGCGAAGCAACGAGACCTTGGAGAGCTTGGACATGACGCTTGGACCACCAAACTGTGGCCCAAAGGGGCAGAGTTTGCTTCAGCATGAGAGAGAGAGAGAGAGTGATACTTATTCAGCATCTGGATGGCCATGTTGTCTCATGATGGCAGACCTTGAACGTTGTTGACCGAAGAACATGTAGACTCCCTGCCCTGATCGAAGATCGTGGAAGATCGTGCTTGGCGGCACGGCCCCAGTTCCGGGGAGTTCTTCCACCAGCACCACCCAGGCAGCTGGAGGGCTTATAGACCCCCCTGACTATCTATTTTCCATCTGAGAACCACCCAAACTGGGTGGTGCTGGCAGTTCCATGTTAGTTCCAGGGAGAGTTCATGGTCGCAGGTGGAACCGTTGTAGCACGGTTGGGTGCTTGGTGTTGACCCAGCCTTTGGGCCACATGACTGGACGGACATTCTGGGAACACTCTCCAAACCATGGGATCGGCTTGACCTTTGAGGGGGCGTCCAGGTGGGTTTGGGTAGGTTCACCCTAGTTCTGCTGTAGGTTCTTCCTGAAGCCGTGAGGGCGGTCTATCTCGTTTTTCGGGCACCACCGGGCCTTTTCAGCGCGAGCGGAGTGGGCACCATCGGGCCTGAATCAGAAAGAACAAACCAGATCGAATGCCAGAATATAGGCCCCTTAGAATGTCAGGTTATATGCCAGATGTTAGAATATATATTCCAGACAGAATGTCAGAATCAAGGTCAAAAGAATGTCAGGCAATATGCCACATAGAATGCCACACTATATGTATACCATATACCAGATAGAGTGCCTGAATATATGCCAGATAGAATGCTAGAATGTTTGCAGAGTAGAATGCCAGATGGAATGCCTTAATCGTATGCCAGTATATATGCAAGATAGACACTTTCTTGGTGATGCTCACTCAATATAGCTGCTTGTTATCAGCAGAGTACAGGGCATCACCCAAAGTAAAGTATTTCTAAGCCCCCTGCTGGGAAGAATTCTTTCCCGGCTCCGAACCAGCGAATACCAAGGAACTGTTCAGTTTGGGCTTGACCCACCGGTTCAATACAGTGCGTCCCTGCGATGGCTCCCAGGAACTCCAATGAGATTGGCGAGCGAGGTTGGCCGTGGCGGAGGGGGGGGTTCGACGGGCCCAAGGGAGCTTTGCCCTGGCGCAGTCGCTGCGAAACACGGGAAACTATCAATCCACTGCATCCATAGAACAGTCCCAGTGAGGAACAAACAGATGAAGCTGGGTCTATGGATGTATACGGTCTACGGTGATTCCTTTGTCAGCATGGTTGGGTTTTAAATCTGGATTATCCTTTAATCAGGTGTGAGAAGCCAAACTGTGACGTGGTCATGTACCTGGACCTTTGGATGTGGGTGTCATGTCAATCCATAATAAGCAGTGTAGGGTAGTCCATCGGGCACCTCTTGGATGATGCTAGGAAAACCAAGGGGTGGGGATTGATCATGGCCCTAGAGAGAGAGGATGAGACGGGAGTTTATGCCACTCACGCGCTCAAAACGCCGACGCGAAACCATTGCCACATTCAAGGTTCCCCTGTCATCTAAAAGCAGAACTGACGTGTCTCAGCCATGACCAATTGCGCGCAAATGTTTTCCAATGAACCCACGAGACTAGCAGAAGGTAGACAGTGGAACGCAGCAATGAAAGGTACACCGCAAATGTGTGTATATTTATTATTGTTTTGCAGGGGTGCCTGATGTAGACAAACTGCCTGATGTACGATCCCAGTTCCGTTAACTGCTTGGGTAAGCTCTGGAAGCTGTCGGGTCGGGATGCATGGAAGGATGGCCGGGCTGTTGTCCAGAGGTGCAGAGGAGCTTGCAGAAGCCTTGCGGGTAAATAAGACCTTGGACACATTGGACTTGGGGAACAACCAGCAACTTGGTGAAAAGAGGATTATGAGGCGGGCGAGGGTGACTGGCACTGTAGGACATTGACCATCATAGACTCATGGACCTGTTTTGTGTTGCCTAGCATTCTATAGCTATATAGGCTATATGTGTGTTTCGGGATCACAAGTGGAAGCTATTGTTCCATAAGTTCCCCTCGGTGACATAACCAATCAACCTCATGGATGAGTCACAAGGACCACTGTCTGATGAAAGGGCTAAACCGCCTCGAATTGCATCTCTAGTTGGTTGCAGTATATCGAATTGCATGTTGTTCGACAAACCTTTGACAAGGCTGCTGGCTCGATTGCTATTCCGAAGGCGGTTGACATTGAAGAAGTACAGCCCCGCCCCCTCCAGGCCACCATCAGAATTTCAAGACCTGCCTGCCAGCCTCTTCTGTGTATGTTTTCAATTTACTCTTGAGGATTGCCCAGGACAGGACGGGAGGCAGTTCGTTTGCGCGACTTCGGGCACTTTCACGACCCGACCTGCCTTGACCGAGTACAGGCTCCCCCAAAAAGTGTTTTGAGGGTCTGGATAACTGCTGAGAGGGTTTGACCACTGCCAAGAGGTCGTGTCCAAGGATTCTGGGTCAACGACCGTCGACGGAAGGGAGGATGTTCCTCCACTGGCTTTCAGATTACACTTGGAGGCTAGTGTAGGTGTCGTCCTCCACACCGTGCCTATTTGCCCCAAACCCCCGGAACTTTAGTGCGTTCCACTGGGCGATTGCCAAAGAACCCCCTCCATGCAACGACGCCCACGACGCCCAGGACAGGTCCCGGAGTCCCCCCTGGTGCCCGACCTTGCATCACCATGATGTCCATGTTGTAAGAGCAACATCTTCCATATAGATCCATATGCTGCATTTGAGTATAGGCTTAAAATCTTAACTGAGCTGGAAATTGGAATTCCCAATCCCTTTCACCCGAATTCTACAGTTCAGACTCGTACCTATCAAGTGGGTACTTGTTTATTTCTGCTATAATATCCTATATTTGTTGTTTCGCAGTAGAACACTTACACATTCGAACCACCACCAATGTTCTCTCCCACACCACCTGGTCGCTCGCTCCATTTGTTCCCCACCAATCCAAGCGTTTGGGCGCTGGGCCGCCCCGTCCGCTTCATCAGCTTCCGCTGCGCGGCGCTCGGTCGAGGCTGGGCCCAAAGGGTCTGGTCCCCCTGGCCGAGCTGCTGCGGCGGAACCGCAACCGCTCGCTGCGGCACCTGGCCTTGGGGTGCCTGGCACATGGCGGCGAGTGTGGGGGATGTGGGGAGAATATATGGAGGTGTTAGTACATCGTTATAAATATGGAGTGGAGGGGGTTAAGGAAGGGAGGAGGTGAAGGGTACATTTGACGGGACCAAAAGAGTAGTGGAGGGTGGCATGTTTGGTTTGGATCACTTTTTCTGTTGCGTGTGGTTCTTTTTTGGGACTGGCAAGCGTTTGGTCAACACGCCCTGGCTGAACCAAGTCTTTTCGACCTTGTTCATGACACTTGTACTTCTGTGGGGCATCCACAGACCGACTGCATCCACCCACCCCTCTTCAAGATTTCAAGAAGTCGACCCCAGTGCCATGTTGTGCAGTTCCATCTGAAAATCTCCATGTTCCGATCTAACGTAGACACAGACTGGTTCTATGTCACTCCCCAGGCAGAAGAGGTTCTTCTGGCTCCAAATCAGGGGCTTCAAAGATGATTATTGGATTGAGTGGAGCTATGGAGTCCAAGAAGGGATGATGATCCAAATAAGGGGCTGGCTTCACAAGAGTCTACACAATTGAACCATACGTTTCGACCCCCCTTTCGACCACTTTCCACCCACCAAGCCTTCTTACGCCGCTTCCGAAGCGGTTTCTGCTCACCATCGTTGCGAAGGCGTTTTCCCCCAAAGGCGACTCCTGCGACCCCGGTGTTTGAGGTCCAAGTCCCCCGAGCCATCTGAGGGTCGAGCCGAGCTGGTACCATGCCCCAGACACTCCATCATGGGACTGCCACCTTTTTGCCGATCAGGGTGGTTGGGGGTCAACTGATCGGCATAGATGGCAGTCCCATGGAGGTCCGCTCTTTCGATCTTTCGGGGGTTTTCTCCAACATGCTCTCAGATCATCGCCCCGATCTACGGTAGACCTCCCAGATCGTTCGCCTGGGAAAGACCGACGGCGGTGGGATGGACGTCCCTGAAATTCGGCTAAGGAACAACAACATCGGCCCAGATGCAATTGTTTTCCTTGCAGGCGGCTTGATCTCTCAACAAACATCAACGAGATGCGCCTGGGGGTTGAAATTGCCTGCTGAGTGAGTTATTCGATGTTATTCGGGGTTCAGGACATTGAGTGGCAGGCTGATTATTTGTACTCATATTTGTGCTTCTTTTTCTGAATGTTTCAGGTGAGTTTCAATTGAATGTTAGGCAATTTAGTCATTCCCTATTCCCTACTCCGGACACCTCTTACGGCGTCGCGTAAGCCGAGCATTTCGCTTGTTGTATCCCAAATCAGGCCCTTGGCCATGGCCGAACAGAACAGACCGAACGAGAGCCAGTCCTGGACGCTGATGTGAGAGCCAGTCCTGGACCTTAAACAAGGGCCAGAGAAGAGTTCCCAGACACGACTAATGGGACTGCCATATATGCCGATCAGTTGGGGTGGTTTTGGGGGTCAATGTAGGCATATATTCCATACATGGAGTGTTTGGGGTTGATGTGGTTGGGGTTGTCAGTTTTTGCACCGCGCAATGTACTTGTCCACTGAGTCCACTCCCCTCCCTGAACATGCCAGGTGTGCTGAAGAAGAACCACACCCTGGTGGACTTGTCCTTGAATGTCAACGATGTTGGTGACAAAGGCCTCTCTCACGTGTGGGGAGACACCTTTACACCTTCTAATTGACTAGCAGTATACTGTATAGAGAAATTGAGAAATTCAATGACATTCCTCATTGTCCCACTTTGCTCGCACTTTTTGCACTGCGTACTCCTTCCCTAAGGAAACCATTCCTGCACCACTTGAGACAGAACACCTGAAACACGCAATTTGAATGCTATATGGAACCATGTCATCCAGGACTTATTTAATAAAGGTGTGCCAAACTTGGATAGCAGTAGCCATTATCCACTCACTTGGGGACTGAAAACAACTTTAACAACTGTTTGGATTTGTTTTTAGACGTGTTTGGGTGGTGAATTCTGGCGAACTTCCTGGTGCTTTTTGGGGTCGATCATCTCTCTTCCCAGGAAATTCTTTCAGCAAAGTGAACACGTAACAAAACGCCTGAGATGCAACGAACGACGAAGAATGGAATTGACCTGACATTTCCTACTCAACCACAATTCAGAGTCTTCAAATTAAATCTGAACCGGACTGAGCATGAGAGTCAATATAGCTTCTTAGACAACTTACAACCCAGGCGTTCGGCTCTACTACAAACATGTGACTTGTGACTTGGATGGGTCGGAACTGGCACCGGTCGAACTCAGCGGTTGGAATCTCCATTCGAACGAGGAATTCGTTCAGATCACTAGTTGGGACCCATCTTCATGGCTGGGAGACCACATGTCACCAGTTTGGCCAGGTGCAAGGACCCTTGAGTTGTGTCATTTGTCATGTTCTTGACCCCCACCCTGGGGTCATTACCCTCCTCCTGGCAGGTGCAGAGGCCTTGGGTGAGGCCTTGAGCAGCAACAGCTGCTTGCAGCGTTTAGATCTCAGCAACAACGGCATCAAGGCTGCAGGACCGAGCGGGGCGTCTTCGCTCTCTTCGCTCTCTTCGCTCCTTCGCGCCTGCCGGCGTCGATCGCTCCAGTTTTCCGGTTCAACCAGAGGCAGCGGAGCTCAACAACAGCTGTGGAGCGGTCTTGGTACTGTTCGGTTGCGTGAGCGTTTTGTTTTTTTTGTGTGTGTCTAAGGTTTCTTGAAAGGATTGGGTTTGTGATGTTTGGAGCCAAGAAAGGATCAACCAACCAACCCACCCAAACCCAATACTTACCGGATATATCCGTTTGTTGTCTTCCTGCACATGACAGAGACACAAGGATCAATACATGGACTACCAGCGGGGGGATGTTTCACCATGCACTACGGCACTTTCGCGATGTTCGTTTCACACCAGACTGCGCAAGAACTGAGAATTGTTGCATCACCCAGTGGATCCCGGGTAGCCACGAGTAGTAAGGAACCAGGGATTCGTTCGGTCTATGGTTTTAGTCATTTGGAACCACAGGTGACAAGCGAACTGGTGAGTAACTAGTGGCTTGCCTGGATGCCCCAACTATGAACTGAGAATCGGTCGAGATCTCGCCCGCCCAGATGTTGCCTGGACGCACGGAACTGCCGACGTTGGAGTGGGATTTTGAACGGTTGGATTATCACTAAATCCCGTGATGTGCTCCAGTCAATTGACTTGCAGGAATGTGGGAACTAAGACAACGAATCAAGGATTGTGGATCATTGCCAAGGGCGATTGTTCTGGTTGTGTTCGAATTGTTCGGACCAAGAAAATGACCCGCATGAGATGCTCTTTGAGTTTTCTCCAAAGGTATGCTCCTGGCAACCCTTTGTCCCTTGGTCTGGGGGCTTGGAAGACCAGTTTGGTCTGGGTCTCCAGGAGCGGTGGCGTTCTTCAATGGCCTCAAGAAGAACACTTGTTTCTTGATGAGATCAGACGATCGCCAAGCATGTTCTCGGGACCGAAAGCCAAGCATAGACGATGGTTAGAAGTCATGAAGTCAGCAAGTGCACCCTCTTAAAGAGGATTGACATGCTCTATCTACCTGCTTCTTCAAACAGTTTCATATCCCAGTTTGAGGTCACACGCGGGCCTGTAAAAGGTCACAAACAGGGACTCCATTTGGAGGCCACGACCTGAAGAAGCCGGTATCCCAGTGTGTACATGTTGGACTGTAGAAAGACAGAAGATGGCAGAAGGCCTTTCCAATTCTGTGCAGCTGGTGTCGCGCTGCTCGAGGTTTGGCGCAGCTCATCATGGAGCTCAATCCCATCGGCGTCGCAGGATGGAGAGAGGGCCTGCACAGACCCTGACACGACGGGACCTGACACCCGATCGGTTGGGTTGGTTTCCGAGGTTGATGTACCCTAAGGATCCAAGTACCCTCTGAGAAGGTGTTTGGGGTGGGTTTTGAGGGGCCAAGTACCTTTTGAGGAGGTACTTGGATCCCTACGGGTAGGTAAATATCCATGGAGTGTTTTGGGAATCGATAGAGAGCTTAGTGCCAAATCAATTCTGTCGCTCACATGTCGGTGTGATCATCTTATATATAGTGGGAAGTAGACATAAGTAAACCGTCTCTGAAGCACACAGTTCCTGGGCCAGATAAAGCAGACCACTCTTTGATGCAGACCTGTGTCCCGGTAAAATCCTGCAAACCCTGTGATAGTGATTGAGAACTCAATCATTTCGTAGTAGATGGGTGACAGGAACAACGTACCACATGTTTGTTTGAAAGCGTCGACTTGCTGGCCCTTTCTCTGTCCTTTGGTTGTGTACCAAAGGCCTCACTTCCATTTGCAGGGGTTGTTTATGTGTGATCATCGCATCAGATGTTGTAATACGGAAGATCAGAAATGGTACTCCCCGGCAGATTAACATGGAACCTCAAAGCCACTGGGTTGGTATTTGGAAAATGGTCCAAACCACACAGGTGAATTCTCAGGTTCCATATGGTTCCATGTTAGTTTGCGGGCGGGGGGAGCACATATGTCCACCCTCGTTTTCCGCGAAGTGTCTCCGACTTTGATCCACACTGGTCATAAACCTTATTTTGCCCAAATTGAGTGAAACACATGCCAACAGACTCCAGGACTGTAACTGACTGTTATAACCTGCTCAGCATGTTGACTCACTTCACCCCCCCCAAATCGTCACCATTTCTCCCATCAACCTGGCACGGACGGAGCTGCTCCACGCCTGGCACGGCGCGGAGCTCCCTCTTGAGGAGCCACGGTGTTGATGGAGGTCCTCCGGGTTCATCCAGCGCTGCAGTTCCTGGAGCGACAAAGGGTTTTCTGCTTCGGACTCGACCGAAGGGGTTGGAGTGGAAGACATGGCCGACGCAGGCCGACGCGACCTGTCTGGGACTGGCAACATATACATGGCAAAGACCCGGTCCGGTCGGTGACGCCAAGGTGGGGGAAATATGGTCCCAGACAGGTCGTGCTTTTGGGTTTTGCATATTGATATCAATAGTTTGGGTTTAGTATCAAACATTGTATTCAATATTTCAATTGTTCATGTGGTCACCCCAAAAACGCTCAAGTCCAATCTGGAAGGGGTCCCAAACATTCTGCTTGGCTCTGTTTCTACCTTTAACCGCCCCAAGGGTCGACTCATCCCGCTCTCCATGCGGAGAGCGGCGCGCAGGATATGCGCTTGACGGACCTGGGCAATGAAGGCTGTATCCAAGTCGCTGAGGGCTTAAAGGTCAGCCAGGCGCGCGGGGCTATTTCAGGTGGTCTCAGAGATCGTTGGTGAGAACAAGCAGTTGCTTCCTATGACGTGAAAGCAAAAGGAGAACTGTTCCAATACCGTATACACCTCCAGTCGTACCTCCTCAGGTTCGCTATGACTGGAATTTCCCAAACCCACTCCCAAACACCTTCCGAAGTACTCAGATACGATTGGAGGCCTGGGGAATATGGTTCAAACATGACTCGCCCTATGGATCCACTGCCACCTTCTCAGAAGGTCATTGGACCCGACTGGCTGGCGCCTACATCAATAGTCCCCCTGCTACCATTTTCTCGAGGTTCGGTCTGTGGATCCATCGGGTCGATAGTCGTTTGATGTTCCGAGTTGTGCCAACCGTTTGAGCCGCGGGACTTCGCCGTCCCGTGTTCCGCACGTGGTAGGCCCTGAAACCAGTGTCCGCCAGTGGGGTGGGGCAGCACGTTGACCGGTGTAGGGTTTACGTGATGTGAGGTCCGCGATGGTTTCGCTCCACCTCGCACCTGGTTGGTCCTTGCAAGCCTTGACCCTCCAGGGAATTTCTGGAAGTTTTCTGAGATGTCAGATGCCTAATTGCGGAAAAAGAAAGAACTCCATGGGACTGCCGGACTGGATGCCTACATCATTGGTGATCGGGAGTCATACGACAATATAATTAAGTGTTTGGCACTCTAAAGCCCTCCCCCCCGATGCCCTCGGATGAAGCAAGGCACTCCAGCACTTGGACTTGAGCTACAATCAGATTTACGACCGAGGCAGGAAGCGACCAGGAGTCCATTTGTTGTTCTTTTGGAGAGAGTCAGGTGGCTGCTGGAGAAGAATGAGATCCATCAAAATCATCTAATCATATTGGTGAGAAACCTTTTATATATACTCCTACAAGTACTTAACTGTTCTTTGACAGGTGTGTTTTGTTTGGTATCATATTCTAATTTATGTTTTGTCACATACCTCAAACCCAATCAGTTGAGTTGTTGACCCGAGGGGTTGCAGCAAGGTGTTTTCTTGTTGAATTCACAGGAATGCCAGCCCTCATTGAGAGGCGTGTTTGTCAAGCATGTCAGAGCCTGAACTGCAGGCCCTGGAGGGCATTTTCTTCTCGCTGCGACGACTGGATCTCCCGATACATACCTGACCAACTGATAGGTAGCTACCACTTGGAAGGACATCATCTACCTGGCACCCAGAAGACAAGGGGTGCGTTCGGATCGTATTTGGATGCTTCCCCATGCCGTCGCTTCGCCATCACATGCCGCTGCTTTCTATGCCTGGCCGCCGAGGTGGAGTGGCGTTGGCCGACGCCCTGCGGCAGAACCGGAGCTTACAGGATTTGCTCCTGCGTACGAACCAACTGGGGGACGCAGGCCTGGTGTGTTGGGGCAATGCTGTTGTTGACATTCTTTATTTATAGTTGAACATGTTAAGAACCACGGAAGGCATGGGAAGGCAACTAACTTCAAGCAAGGTTGCAGGCAAGCACGGCTTATGCAGGAACGATCACTATTTCCAGAAGCGTCGTGACGTTCAACCTGGAAGCATGAAGCAACTTGCATCATATGAAAGCCTTTGTCCCAACAGATAGGGTCCTTTGAAGAAGATGAAGGGGTAGAGTCGGTTGAGGTGACTAAATTCCAAGGCCGTTGTGTTGTGTATCCTGTACCGTTGCGACTAGCACTCGCAGCTCCCGTCTATATACGGGCCTTCACCTTCCGTGGGACACACCGACACCCGAGCTCTCCAATCTCCAGCATCCGCGTGGGAAAAGGGAGAAGGAGGCACCGACAGGAGATGATGCCCATTATAGTGGTCCCCAATGTAGATAGAACATGATAGAACGTTTTCCGAAACATGGGTATACTTTTCTATGTATTTGGGGACCACTATATATGCCAACGACGCGTTCCGTGTGAAGGGTTGATGGTTGATCAACGCGTTCCGTTCGAAATTTTGGCCGCTGTCGACCGACACCAGACGGTCCACGTATGTCCACGTTATTTTTCAGGCGTGATTGCCTTGGCCGACGCCATCCACAAGCACCGGACGCTACAGCACCTGGCGTTGGATTCTTGTGCAGTATGGAGACTGAACCTGTGATGCGGAAGGTTTATCTATATACCTATAGTCTTAGAACCCAGACATGACATTATTTTTGATAGGGAAAAGACTCTCTCCAACCACCCCAACTCATATTGCTGTGGTTGGTGCGCTTAGGACATCCAGGGTGCCCCGTCACCCAGCGGTCTTCACCCTTTTTCCGGTCCCCGCGGTCCCCCCCAGAAGGGGTTTTCCTCCGAATGAAGTGGACGGCTGTAGGGATGTCGGGATGTGGTCGTTGGATGTCGTTGGGTGCAAAGCAAATACTTCACACAGAAGAGGGCTTTTGTATTTTCGACGTTTTGCTTCCAACTTCCAATGTGTCCACCTGGCACAAGTTCGTGCCGAGCTGGCACTCCGAGCTGGTCCAACGGATTTGTATCTAACGAAGCACCGGTTCCAAAGGCTCCATGTGTAGACTCAGACCGTTCGGGCTCCGGGTTTCACAGTTGCTACATGCAGGAGATGTGGGATTTGACTAGAGAGTGGCACAATAGCAATGCCAAGGCACAATGTCTTTTAAGATTGCAATGATTGGGGTCCTAAAGCTGTAGGTCACTATGAAATCTGCCAGCATTTGCTGTTTGCCATCCATCAAAGTCGTACTGGGTGGTTTTTCCAAAGGGAGTCCGAAACTCTTTGGGAATGGCGGCGATGCCAAGGACAACAACCAAATCTCTCAGTTGCTTGGACCGCACGTGGAAAGCATGAGGTGCCAGTTTTGGGGAGAAGGGCAAGGCTAAACAAGTTGCCACCACTGCGAAAACCTGAGAAAGTCTTATTGAAGCCAGTGAGCCACAAGCATCTGAAGGATTCTATGTGGACAGAGGAAGCCATTGGTGTATCGGGTAGTAAGTAAGTAAGTAAGTAAGTAAGTAAGTAAGTAAGTAAGTGATGACCCCAAAAAATTCTGTGCCAGTGACTTCCATGGAAGCCCATGCCTAAGCATCCGTAGGCTGGTCCACGGCCTTGTTTTGCACCACGTCGAACATCGTCCACGGCCTTAGCCATCACATAAGGTTTAGCCATATAACATCCAGCTGGTGTTACAAAAGGACTGGGGATCCAACGTTGTAGCTGCAGGGTGGCTCAAAAGGTAAGACTCAGTATTACATGCATTTACATGCAGGTTGACTCGCCATGTTGCCCATATATATATATATATATCTGTCGGTTTTGGGGGGACTCTATGTTTGGGCCGCAACATGAACAAGAGTGGATTCCGTGTTGAACGCTTATTAATTGATAAATGCAGCCCAATACTCAAAAAACACTTGTGGCAAGCATGCCCTCAAGTTTGTCTAGTTGATTCTTCTCGCAACTGTGTGTTGTGATGATGCAACTTCGGGAACCACCGCGGAAGGTACTCCCTCTCATCGCCTTAGATGAAATGCTTGGAACCGCAAGGTCGGGAGTGGCAGCACTGGCGCGCTCCTTGCAGAAAAGCAAAGCGCTTCTTCAGCTGCTTGGCTTTGAAGGAAGGATTGGGTGGAGCTGAAGCAGACAAAGACCTCCCTTTTGCGTGTTCACACAATCGTATCCTGTAAGACCAGACAGAGCATTGTACCATAAGCACCTTGATACTCTTTTGGGAGCCGAACTTGTCGCGGGAGAGATACTGAGACCAAGCTGGGACCACTCGGTGAGAACAAGCGGAAGCACCGGGGTCAAGCGTGAATTGATGTGAACCAGGAGTCACGTTCGACGGGGTGGTGTGGCTTGTCCCATCCAGTGAGCGGAGTAGGTGGGCACACCTATCCTCCAAGTCCGGCACCCCGTTGTGACTCCTGGAATGTCTTGTTATATGATGGTTTCGGATCTTTTTATTTTCAACCCTTACTTGGGGATGATTGGACCCTCTGACCAATATTTTTCAAGTGGGTTGAAAACACCAACCAGATATATAGTCAATATATTTCATCCCTCAAAGCAAAGAACGGAAACAAACACCGAGTCCCGCCTGGAAAGCGCGTCTTGATTTCTCCCGTGAGGTTGTCCTTGGACTTGAACTGCATCAAGAATCAAGGCCTGGAAGGAGGGTCGGGTGACCTGACGAAAGAGTGGGGAAGAAGTCTCTCAGAAGAAGAGAGCCAACCAACATAGCATATCGCATTTGGCTGTGGTGGTTAGGAGGAGTGAGCGACTTGGGAGAGGATGGGAGAGGGTACGAGTTGTGCCTGAACAAGTGGAGCAAGGGATAGCAAGGGTAATTACAAGGAGTTACCATATTAAGTACCCGCTTGGATTGTTCCCAAGGTATTCACATCCCGTCACATTGTTGACATAGACAGACATATTTGCTGATTGGTCTGAAGCCCATGATCCACTGCTATTTTGGGCAAGAAACCAACTAAAGTAAATGTTCTCAAGCAGAACGATTTCCTGGTTTTGCTTGAGGCAATTCTATATCTTTATGGATGAATCCCCCAGCATGGGAGAATATGTGTTTACCTTGTTTTGCCCTTTTCCTGCCCCAAATCAGCAAAGCAGCACATCAGCTGGACACTGCTTTACGTCTTCATCGCCACGGAGTCATGCACCGTATCAAAACCGTCCACGATCGAAACCGCCGTTGGGTGCGGCGCGTCGTCACCGTGGTCCTCCAAACGGTCGGCAGGTGCGGCGGACCTGGCGCAAGCGCTCACCGTGAATCGGAGCCACGCGGTTACGTCGTGCGGCTTTCGGGGAGGAGGAGGTGTGATGTGTGGGTTTGTTGGAACTGTCTGACCTGTAACAGTCGGTATAAACAAGAACATCACTATTTTTAGAGAAAGGTCTTTACTTCATTTTACTTACCATCATCATCCACTGGAACCTGGCAGGTTGGATATTTTTGGACCCAAGGGAGACTTCACTGGAGAAGAGTGTTTTGGTTCAATCTGGGCTGGGTACATGGAAGCGTCTTCCCGTTTGAAGTCGATGACTGCATGGTGTGGTCATCGCTGCATCGCTGGGGAGGACATTTCACGATCCGAAAAGATGGGAAGGTCCTGCGGGAGCAGTACCATCTGGCAGCCACCATCCACTATCAGGATGGTAGGACTATCAGGATGGAGTACCATCTAGCAGGACCATCCACTATCCATGTATCACCCTACTGGCAGGACTGACATGGGTTTTTCTTGGACCTCCAGGGATAGCGTAAACATGCGTACACGTCTGTGCCAAGAGTGGATCGAGGCCGCGAGAACCATCTATGCCGATTATATTTTGCAAACATTGAAGGTACCAAATTTTGAACTATACGGACCATTGGGCAGCAACAAGTCAATCTGGAAGTCCGATGAACACGGTGTTTCGGTTTCAGAGCGTCTCAACCAACTATGGGATCTCATCAAGAAATCCTGGGGACACCAAAATCGCTGTGACCACGGTCACTTCGCCGCGAAAATCGCTTCACCGGGCGTGTCTTGCAACGCTTTCTCCAGCTGAGTGTCCCGAGGTCTGCTGATCTTGCGCATTTGCTCCAATGAAATTGGGGAGCAAGGCACGACCAGCTGATCAGTGGCCCCGAAGTACAACTCCCTGAAATCATCATGGAAGTGGCATGGTCCTCACAAGGAGGGAACAAAATAACAATCAAAGCAACAAGGTGGTGAACTCCACTTCCCTGATGATTTCAAGGAGATACGAAAAGTCCCCCCATGAGAAGGATCGGAGTGCTGGTTGGTGGTCTGTGTCGAAGAGAGCGGATGTGACAGAGTGGTGTCCAGTCATGTCGTCGCTTTTCCAGTCTCACAGCGCGCACTTCGACACTCGCAGCAGGAGCTCGTGGCCTGTCTGGACATGTTGACCTATATATAAGAGCTTCATAGAAATTGCCACATATAGATACAAACCCATGGGTGATGGTTTCTCCTATCGGGTGCCCAGGTGCGGCCCTCATTTCGCCCTCCACAGGTGCAGTGGCCCTTGCAGATGCCTTAAGACAGAACTGCACCTTGCAGCAGCTCATAGCCAGTGCCATGGCGCCATTTCTGTGGCTGTTTTCATGCTGGTTAGTACACCCCGTCGACGGTGAACAGACGGAGAAAAATGGATGATTTGATTCGACGTCGCCGGAAGACGAGGCGTTCCATCGAACAACAACCAAAAAGCTGGAGAAAACATGAGAAAACATGTCCATCGTCTTTCTACTTTGTCGCCTGGTGCGACATCAACCCACTCGGCTCGGGTCGCGCAGTGCGCTGGGCGACGGGATGACATGACTGGTTGAAGCTGCTTGAGTCTGAATTCAACTCCATTCAATCCATATATTCATATTACATATCCAAGCACTCCAACCCAAATCCCCAAAGAAGGGATCTTCCCGTCTGACCCCACATCGTTTCCCACACCCTTCTCCCTTCCGTCGTGTGCTGTGCGCCGGGTTCGCTCACACACGTCACCCGCGCCCAGGCTCCAACCTCTTCGGGCAGCACGGTGCCACGGCGCTGGGCAGCGCCCTGCGCCACGGCGCCCAGCAGCTGCAGACCTTGGACCTCCGCTCCAACGGCCTGGGCGATCCAGGGGCCCCCTGGAGGATGAGCGAGGGGAGCGGTGGTGGGTCGGTCGAGCTGAGGAGGAACCGAGGATCGACGTTAGGATGAGGTGAGAGCAACGTGGTTCAAAGGCAACGACTTGGACCTCATATTTGTTGGGTTTATTAATGATTGACATATCCAGATCATATAGACTGTATAATTCCTGTAAGTATCTGTAAACCCAAACAAAAGATTGATGTTGGCTGTTTCACCGCCCCTCGGCTGTTTCGATGTTGGACCATCCAGGAGATGTGGGGTGAGGTTGGACCATCCAGTCTACACTCCGTGGAATAGTCATAGATGTGGACAACCACCTCTTTGTTTGAATGCCAATTGTCTGAATACCAAAGAGGTGGTGAACTTCACTTCCATGACTATTCCAGAGTCGACACGAAACCGTTTATATCATGCTCGTATTTTCGCCCATTTGAACCTTATGACCTCCTGACCTCCTTCCCCATTCCTTTCGGGATCAGGCATGGCAGAGCATGGCGATGCACATGGGAAGTGTGCTACTTCACCTGTTTTCCAAGACCCCTATACCCGACATGGTGAGCGCCTTCAGGCGGCAAACCAGTGGGGAATTCATGGCGCAATTCGGACGGACGTGCAGCAGGTTTCGTGTAGCAGTTCTTCGCCTCCCATCCCATGGAGTGGGGAAGTCGACTGACGAAATGCTTCACACGTCCTGTCCCAGCACATCCTGTCCCAGCACATCCTGTCCATCCTGTCCCACCCAGAGGCCCAGTTCGAAGCTGAGGTCATTGCACTGGCAGAGGCCCTGAGGCAGAACAACAGCCTGCAGACTCTCGTGGTGCCTTGGCGACGTCCGGAGAGGCAGACCGAGACTTCATATCTTAGGATTCGACGCAGACCGGGCTGGAGCCTGCCCGGCTGCATCTTTTCACCCAAGCTCGTCCCTGGACGAAAAATCCCTGGATTTGATTTGAGATCGCATAATTAAGGTTGTTGAAGGGAGATTTTCCTGGAGTGTCAGGCAGTTTGAACAAGCTGGCATTTGCCAGAAGCACCCAAACTCCTTGCAACATCCCACCATGTTGGTGAGGCAGCGAGGCAGTTCCATGTGGTTGGACCTTTCTCGAGCGAGTCGCGCTTTGTGACCGCAGAGTGGTGGGGATGACCATTGAGGGTCTGAAAACCCCTTCAGTGGATCCATGTTGCCTGGTTGAAGCATGGGTGTCATTTCGTGTTGTTTGCCACTCAGTGAATGCAACATCGAGTTCCATATCGTTCCAGCACGGGCTGTGTGGAAATACCCGGATGGACGTTCCATCTCAGAAGTTGGCAGAGACCAGCGGATCAGCGAGGCAACACATCTGATGTGGAAGACCACATTGCCCATTCTAGGTGATCAAGTTATATAAGTCTTCAGTAACTAGGTGATGTTCAATGTTTAAACCATCCTGCCCTAGTACCGCTGCTGCCCTAGTACCCTACCACCCCTACCGCTACTATAGGCCCTGGAAGTTTGTCCCATCCTCAGTTAGCCAATTCCATCCCAAAAAGCTGGCGTGACAGGAGATCTTCCCGTCGACGCTTGTGTATAGCGAAGGCCCACAGGTCGGAAAAGTGGTAAATCCTTGGAAGAGACGAATGCAGGAAGAAGAGTACCGGACTAGCCATTACTTAAGTGCTAACCTTTAAGTCGTGCCATTGACAGTTAGGTTTCCGTATGATTTTCTTCATACGGATTCTCCTACCCTTTCAATGGACCCGGTCGACTAGTAGGCTCCCTCTTTGGCACCCCCCGGTGCCTGGCCTCTCGCGCCTACCATTCAGGTGGGGAACAACCATGTCCAGCGCGCTGGTGCTGAAGCATTGGCAGAGGCCTTGAAGGACGAACCAACACGGTCAACGCGTTCGAACCCCGAACTCGGCGCTCTCGCGGTGGGGCGACGGACTCAGTCGCTGGGTCTGGCGCTTGGTTGGGATCGGAGCTTAGAGAAGTGAAGTACACCCGGGAAGATGAACATGGAACCTGAACATGGAATAACCCTATAGAAGACGATTTTCCGAATACCAACCCGACGTGGTTTTCAGGTTCCATGTGGGTCTCTTCTAGGGTGAAGGTGTGAAGAGGCGAAGCGACGTGACCTTTCGACAAAGAGGCTTAGAGAGAAGCCGTCCTAAGGGATGGTGTTTTGGGCTTTGAAGCTGGTGATGGGAAGTTTGTGGAATGCCAAGCTATATGCCAAGCTGCAAGCTTTTCTAGCTGCGGCCTGACTGCTCTAGCTGTACTACTGAGCTTTTGTGGGCACATCATAGCAAGTTCACAATGTGAGTTTTTTGGGACTTATTGATGGACAGGGTTGTACGCATGTTTACGCAAAACACTCTTTGGGTAGATGGCCTGGGCTTTATCAGCCTGCCTGTTCCTGTTCTTTTTTCGTCCGACCTCGTTCGCCCGCGCGGACGCTGCCCCCATGATGCAAGCCTGCCCATCGCTGCCATGAGTTTGGGCCGTTTGCCTACTAAAAGAAAGACCGCGCGGTTGGAAGTGTATTGTGACTATATATAGCATGAAATGGCAGTAGCCAGAAACTGAGGGGCTGAATAGGGCACAGTCCAACAGACTTGGCATTTTTGAATATCTTTATAGAGTCATATAGAGTCTCATCACTTATGTGTTTGTGTTCAGAAGCGTCCAGGCGTCCATTGCAGCTGCCCCCGCCCTCTTACCAACAGGCATGTCAATGTGTCTATGACCACTACAGTAGCGACCTGGTCGTGAATTTGGGCCATATGTCCCCGGAGCAAGCACCCAACATCGATACATATCTACACTCCGAGTCACTAACATGTAAGTGGGATTTTGGGACATGGTCGTCATCCTTATGGGGCCATCCACGTCCACGTAGCTATGATGATTCATGCAGTCTATATCGAATCAGATTCCATAGTGTTGCTTTCTTGTGATTTTTTTTGTATTTTTGTGTGCTTTTTTGGTGTGTCTGGTCAATTAGTACTTAAATTCGATTCCACACATGAAACAATGTCTGACATTGGGGTGTCCAAACCACCGGAGACACCCAGAGGCTTTGCGTCTCGATGTGCGTCGACGTCCTCCGTGGACCGCAAAGAGAATCACTCGCCCTGCTTCGAGATCGGGTCCGTGCACCATGTGCCAGTCGAGATCTGAACGACAAGCGGAGCTTGAACCCAAATCCCAGTTTTTGCTTCAGGCTTAAGGTGATTTGTTCCTTTTCTCCTATGGGCAAAGACCATGGCATGATATTTTATGTAATTGGTTCACCCCGCGCTTGTTTTGGGACGGTTTCGGCCAGATCTGGATATCTTGGCCACGGTGCACGGGCGGTTTCCACCGATTATTCCACGGTTCCGGGCGAGGAGAACCGCTCCTTACACCACTTAGATGTGCGCTTCAATGATGCTGGGCTTGGCAGAAAATGGGTGTTCCGAATCTTCCTCAACCAGTAAAGCCAGGTCTGTGACCTCATTTTTACAATTGACCAACTCCAGTCAAATGGCTTTATCTACGTACTAGTCTTTTCGGGTTCTAAGTGGACCATGGCTTTTCCCGAAACCGTCAGAAGGTTGTTCGGCAAGAGGAGAACCCGGGGAGAGTTTCATTGATGATTTTCGGCGATGTTGTTCGGTAGGTTCCTACCCTGCACCTGACGGTTTTGGGCCGCACCTGCTGCATGGCTTCCATGACCTGGTCGGTAGGTTTGGAGAACGTGTTGCTGCGCCAGGTGAGCCTCAACTCTTGTGGAGCGAGTTCGTAGGGTGCAGGTTTTGTACTGCATGGCTGATTGAACTGCTTTGAAGTGGCTGCTCTATATGAGTGAACTCAAAGAAACCGGCGCAAGTTTGACCAAGGACATTGGTGACATCGGCACTACTGCTTTGACCAATGCAACATGGCAGGTTTTCACAAAGATGGATTGATGCCTGTCACTGGTTTATACAGAAGACACTGCACTTGTTTTACTGCAATTGCAGACTAAGTATAGACCCTATGGTTGGTATACTAAGCCCTATCCAGGCTACGGCTCGGCCTGTCATTGGCAGTATGATACGTATGGCTGCTGGCTATATTCTATATATAAAATAGTAAAAATAGCTATATAGAGGATAGGTCCTATCCTATAGCCCGATCAAGGCCCATACTGCTAGCCTTATCGAAGGAACTCATGCCAGCTGCAGGGCTGTCCTTCGGGCCACCGCTTTCAGAAGAGAAGGGGGTCATGAAATTGCAGGGGTCATGCCATGGAAAAACCGGGAAGGTTGGAGGCCATTGCTATTAGGTTGGAGACCATTGCTACTAGAAACAAAGGAAAAAGAAACGGAAGACAAGTCTAAGATACCTGGACCCTCCAAGGGGTGTCCAATGGACTACCCCACACTACCTATAGGCTTCCAGACAGGGCACCCCTTAGAGGGTCCTGGCATGTTAGCTATTCGTTTGGAGGCGATGGTCTTGGGCTCTCAAAGGAGCTGCCAGAGAGGACGAGAGGTGCCCCTCCCGCTGTACACCAAAGCACCCAGTCACATGATGTTCATCGAACGCAACAAAGTGGACAGCCTTTTCACCGTTTGGGGGTGAAAATGCTTTTCCCCACTCCAAGTGCAGACAGATTTCGGGAGTCAGGTGGAATTCCTTCCGGATTTCTCTGGAGTCAGCCACCAAACGGCCACCAGGTGGCATGTGTGCTGCGACCCCACATCTCAGGCAGTGATGTCCCATCTCAGGCACTGAAAGATCGAGGCGGTGTGAGATGTCCACCTGCTCCACCCTCCCCTACACCTCCAGTCGTACCTCCTCAGGTTCGGTGTCAACGACCCTCCAAACCGCACCCAGCAGTCGTACCTCCTGAGTCGGCCCAGTCCGGGCTCGGGAGACCCGGGAAAGCACATCTCAGGCACTGAAAGATCCCAATTGCAGTCTGCAACAGTTGGGCGTTGCCTCGGTCGAGCTCACACCGCTTCTCGGGTGGCGAAAAGTGAGGGGGTTTGCATGGGGACGGCATCGGTGTCGGCGGATAGCATTGATCCATTGACTTGGGGGGGTGCAAGGCTGTAAGTCATGTGGACTCTTCATCTCGATATGAAGAGCTTGTGCATTGGGTTTGTCCTTTTTCATGTAACAGTCGGTGAACAATGATCGCGATATTTTTGAACGAGGCCTTTACGAACCATCATATATACCATCATCACACTGTTCCTGGTAGTGGGATAGACCCCCGTTGTGCAATTGAAACAGGAAAATCAACATTATTATCGGTATGACAAAATAATGTTCAAAATTCCAGAATGTTCCATACGTGGATTCTCAGGGTTGTAACACTCGATGATGCATATGTATGTGTGGCACTGAGTGGGGAACTTGAGATTGTCAGTCAAAACACAGTTAGTTGTGGGTTGCAAGATTGGCATGTTTGAGGACCGGTTTCAGTATGTGTGGGTGAAACCCTGATATATATAGGCCTTTTTATTTCCATTGTAGGGTCTTATTAAGCCAGCCCACCCATATAGAGTGTCAAAGCACAAAACCGTTTGCAGTATGATATAGGAGCTTTAAGTGGCACGGTTGGGGATATAGTTATATAATGTGAACAGACATATTGTATAGATATATTTGGACGTCATATTCACTTTTTTTTTGCAACACATGAGGGCACGAGGCAACCGAGAGTAGGATGTGGGGCAAAGCATGTCCCATGCTCGGTCAATGCCATGACAGAGCACACACCTCTCCTTTTTGTGAACTTTCCGTGTTTTTGTTTTCTGGAAAAATGGTGTTGTTCGTGTTTATTGTATAAATCAGACCTAAGACCCGAATTGATTATGTTTCGATATATTTCGTGTTGGTTCAAGTATGTCTACACTCTGGCTCACTAACATGGAAGTGGACAAACTCCTGTTTGTAGGGGAACATGGTCATCCAAGCGGTCAATTTTTGCACTTCCATGTTAGTAAGTCGGAGTGCAAGCACTACACCATCCCGGACCACCCCGATCAAGGTCACTTGCTCAAAGAGATCAGTTGGACATTCTTGGTTCGAACATTGGAGGATATGGATACCTTTCAAGCCTTATTGACATTTTAGATCCCACAGTAGATGGTCCAATGTAGAGGACCTTGATCGTGCATGATGCTGTGTGATCCTGATATCACTGAGATCTAAAACTGTTTTGAAGGAACACGTCCAACTCCTCCACTCACTTCGCTTCACATCGAACCAGGCTTCACTTCGCTTCCCCTCTCGCGCCTCCTCTCTCCATCCCTTGGCCCTGCTCGCACCCAAAGAAGCGATGGAGTCGAGCTCGAACGACCGCTGGAGTCTGTTCGACGCACTTCGCTTCGCCCAGGAGTGGCCGTGCCACGATGTCGGAGGTCATGGAGAAGCGGATGCTGGCGCGATGCTCGAACCTCTCGGTGCCACAGCGGGGATCGGAGCGGTCCGCGGGGGTCCGCACGGTGGGAGCGAGCGGTCCGCGGCTTAGTACGTTCACCGTTAAGAAGTAACAGAATAGACGACCTACGGGAAGTCATTGAGGTTTTGATCCATAGCCATATGGCGAGGAGGTGTATTTGTTCAGTACGTCGGATCTTATGATTCTACGACTCGAAATCATTGTGGGCTGAAAGTAGAAGTCAGAACTCCGCGAGAACGTTGCAACAACAAGTTGAACCCGGTCTCTCTATTCCGATAGACTGATGTCTTCTGCATTTTGAAAAACCACTTGATGTAGTTGGTTGCCTTAATTAGACAGATCCGCTAGAAACGAGGTTGCCAAGCAACCTGCTTTTTCGATTTCTCTCAAGACCCGGTCGCTGCGCGCGATTCGGCGTCGCTCTCTTCGCCGCGTCGCTCGGCGCTGAACCCGTCGCGAGGCATCACACAAGACCCGTCGCCCTTCCAATCCCAACTGCCAGATTCAATAGGAGGACCGTCGGACCGGGATCGTGGTGCACCGCCAGGGGTGGTCTACGAAAAATCTACGACAAAGACCAAGGCAACCCAAAAAGAACCACTTTGTGGTGCATGGATGGGGAGACTCAATTTCTGAATTATCACAATTCGAGGCATTCATTTTGGAGTACCAACCACCCAAGATCTTTTTTTATGTTAAAGCAAGTCCCTATCAACACCAGTGTTAGCTGGGTGTATCAAGAATTGCTGAAACATGAAAAGGACACAGACAGTTTAATTGCTCAACAACTTCAGGAGTAGGTACCAGGTACCCTGTACAGTCCTGCAAGCATTTGCTGATGTATGGATAGTGTGCTGCTTGACTAACACAACACAACCCTTTATTCATACCAGGAAAGGACACAACACCGGGAGGTCCCACGTTGCCAAAAGAATGGCTCCATGACACTCCCGGAATCATCATGGCTCCTTGGATGACCGTTTTCCTCTACTACAGAACAGGTGCTTTTTTCCACCATCCCAAGCCATCCCAAGCCTGCTTGTGAAGGACTGCGTGAACGCAGGATCCATCGGGAACTGGGAAAACAGCTCATTCGAGCGGTTTTGAGGTCTCCTTGGTGAGCTTGTGATGATGTTGTGCTCAAACAAAATGCAGTGAACTACTTCACTCACAACTCCTTCAACAGCTTGCATGTTGCAAACATCTGTATTTTGTTGTTCTACAATAGCTTTTGACGAAAGCGACCGTTTGGCCACGTGGTATTCACGACGGGCTGATGATTGATTGCTCAGACACGGGACCTTCGCAGAATTGGATCGGCAAGTGCAAATGTGTCTTACATACCGGGGTGACCACGTTTTCGCAGCGGCTCTGGGGGTTCACGCTGACTTTGCAGTGGCTCTGAAGGGTGTTTTGTCAACTACCATGGTTGCATGGCTAGCATACGCTAGCATAGCAGCCCAGCGGTGTTGTATGGCGTTGTTTATGAAGAAGTGGTTGCTTTGACCCTGTCAGGACACTAGGGTGTTTGTATGTGTTTGTTTTGCCCTAAGAACTTCAGAGGAATCCTCCGTAGCAGGGGATCCTTAAATTGAACATAATTTAACTAAACCATCAAAAGCTTTTCCATTGCTTCGGGTCTGGATTCTACATGATTCTACTAGCAGTGTTCAGGCAGACCTGGCACCCGCAACCAGCAACCACAGCAACCACACAGTGTCCACCAGTCAAAAAGCCGCCTTCCGTTTCAAAGATTGGTTGACGCAGTGTAACACAACATGTCTGGTTTTCAACAACCCATACACTCCATGTAGGCCATATATGCCTATATTTGACCCCCAAAAGCAAGGGTTCTTCGCTCCATCCCGGCGAATCTGGTCGACCCATTGGCGAGAGCGAGATTCGACCGGTCGGTGACCGATGGCATAGATTCTTGTACCTACCAGGGCACCCGGTTTGGGTTGGTTAATGGATACCCATGGATACCACTAAGGAGCTATAATTAGACACCCCAAACAGGGGGCCCTGGTATATAATCTGCACATTGAAGGTGGTTCAGGTGTCTTTTATGCATTATTCCATACATGAAGGTTGATCATGATATTTGCATGGGGATAAGCTCATGGTCTTTCTTCCCTTTCAATTGAGCTGGCCATGGGAGTTTCGTTTAGGATGCGGTCATAGCCGTCAGCCGTCTCAGCTTGCGTCACTTCACTCCTGGGGCCGCCGTCACTCTCAGCGCTCAGCCTCGACGCAAAGCGCGCAGCCAGCGTCGCTGCAAAGCAGCGGGACGGTGTTCTGAACGCGAAGACCGACGGGAGGATGACGCACTTGGTTGACGCAAAAGCGAACAAACGTGGTGGGCTGTATCGATGGGCTGTGATGCCAAGAGTCAGGAAAGCAAGGGAGAGTGAGGGATTCAAGTTTGGGCATGCGTGGACTTGTGTGGTGCATGTGGACTTGTGTATATTTACAATGTAAACCACCTGATTTATGAACCCCGCCACGCTATATTTGTTGGGGGTCTGGAAAGGTATGGACATGTTGGTTAATTGTTGAGGATGTTGAGGGTCAATCATGTTGAGGGTATCCCCAAGGCTAAACCTTTTCAGATGAGAAGACATCCCAGTGCGACGAACGTCGTTTCACGTCTCATCCCTTCACTCCTTCTCCTCCGATCTCCGAGACGGAAGCGAACGTGACACGGTGACGTGACGTGCTGGCGGCGCCATGCGAAGGTGACAGGTCATGAAGACAACCTGCACTCTGAAACAAGAGTAAAACATGCACATGAACTTGCGAACTTGCGAACTTGTCACGGTCACGCCCCTAACAGCCCTTCCACTTTGTGGGGTCATTAAAAACTATACCAGCACCACGGATTCCGGGTGTCCATGTCTATAGCCCCTTAGAGGTCTTTTGGGGTGTCCATTCACTACCCCGACAGCGGGTCCAGGTATATGATTACGTAGCAATACCGACCCTGAACGTGAGGATTATAAGCACACACACTGTGTGAATTGAGTGGTTCCGGGCGGTGGCCACGTAGGTTCATGAGCGCAGGCGGGGTCTTCCCGGACGAGGTGTGGGAGAGGAGAAGGTGCATGGTTTTATCAATTAACTTGCACTGCTATGACATATATTCGATACCCAGACACTCCATGTATGCCATATATGCCAACATTGTATGGTTTTTGTTTTTTGAAACTCGTTATTTTCTGGTCTTCAGATGAACACGTCACACCGAGGGGCTTAGATGTATAAAACGTCTCTCCCTTTCGCCCAGTCATATCCAGAGGGGTGTGCACTGGCCTCGAAGAGCTTGGTCTTGGTTGTCAGCTACCCAAACTGGTCGGGGTTGGATTGACGCAGCAAGAACGAAAGGGCATGTTTAAAGTAGGCAAGAGATGAAGCACGACAGGCAAGTCACTTTGACACTATACCCCAACATTCTGGAAATCCTGTGAGAGGTTGGACCCAACAGAGACCTAGGGCAAAGACCACCCGGTGCAAGATCGCAGGATTTCGGGTCTCAGTCGTACCTAGGCGGCAAAGTATACTCGTAGATAGATGCTTGGCAGGTGGATAGGATCTCATCATCCCTACACCTGACTGGGCCCGACTGGCTGGCACCGGTCGTCCTACCGGTCGTCCGACCGAACCGTTTCACGAGTCCGGTACGACGGTACGAGGCCTGTCGGTCCAAGTCCAACCTGTTGGTGACTCACCGAGTAAAGCGAGTGGTTTGAAGTGGTATGAAGAACTCCAGGAGCTTCGTGAGGTCAGCAACCCTGACCTATAGGGCCTGTAGGGCCTGTAGGGCCTGTAGGGTATGGGTTTCATCAGGATTGTTGGACATTAACTCGCATCAGCGGTGTTGTGAGGATTTTCCGGTCCTGTGCCTTTTCAGCTTTTATTTATGTTGGGGTTCTTCATCAATTTTGTTAGACCTTCCGCCTTGGAAGACCATGATCCGCGCAGGTTCTGACTCTTCAAGATTCTTCATAGAAGGTCCTACCAACCAGTTTCTTGCTTCAATGAGTCTTGGTGACCTGGGACAATATCCAAGGGTTTCTCAAGACCACATTTAAAATTCCCTCCTTGCCTCCTTGCTCTTGGCCCAAACATCCAGATCTAGACTAGAGAGGCACAAACGGAACTCCATGCAGCTTGAAAAGGGCACATTGTTCACGGCACTGTTGTCATCTATTTCCCACTTCCCTGTGAGTTGTCCCCTTTTTTCTCCCCCTGCTGGTCACCGACACACCGATTCAGGTGGTGAGTGGGAAGCTCAGAACATGGGAAGAAGCGAAGTTTCTCTGACACGTGATATAACGCCAAAAAAACGCAGGATTCATGTTGAACACCTTCAAGATCGATGGTCACAGCAGGGTGACCATCGCGATATGGCCATTGAACACCTTGAGTTGGTTTCATAGCACAAAAAGCCGGTGCCCTACGACGCTTTGGAGCCAGTGACCGGACCCTTTTCCAATGAAGCATGGTCCGGGTACCTTCACAGAGTCGGACATTCCATGAGCCAGGTGTATGGGAGCCATAAGCCGCCACGGACATTCCCAGAGTGTGAAACATGCCCATGGTGGTTTCGGAACAAGACACCTTTTTGGGAGCGATGTCTTCATCTCGGTGATCAACTTAGACTCGTCTAAGTTCATATTGGAAGAACCACCTCAAAATACTACAAGTCTTTTTAGTCTCTGCTGTAGACTCTTTGATGATATCTCAACATATCTCACCCCCGCCCGCATCAAACAGGCTTTTACCACCCCCACTCGCGGACCGAGGTCTGCCTTCCAAGAGGGCCAGCGTGTGCGCATCGTGGGCCTGAAGGCGACGACGGCGCGGTGACCGGTGACCCAAACGGGGGCGAACGTGGTGAAGCAACCAGACAGGTATGTTCAATCGTAGTGAAGAAGAAAGAGGCTCCAAATCCCGGATGGTCAGTCAAGCGGTTCCAAGACGAAGTTGCTTCGTTAGCATGTTTTTAGCCTAGTTAGCTAGTGACACTTGTGTGGTACGGATACTGTGGTACGGTGGTGCGGTGGGTGCTAGTGCTCATGCTAGTCTTAATATGAATTCTCTTCATTGGACATCGCCGAGCTCCATCGATGGACCTGGACGCTAGACATGTCCCTCCCAAAACTGGAAAACCCCCGACGCAGAAAGAAACTCTCAGCCTCCGAGCCTCTGACCTGCAGAACTGCAGAACCCCCGGCAGGTCCGCAATTCCAGCGCGAAGGACCCATCCCTTCCCCTCCGGTCACCAGGGATGGGTGACATGTCGTGACCGATGGCGGCCCCCCTCCGAGCCCGAATGAACGCCTTGGCCCCGCAGACTCGGACGAGGGACCCAACCAGGTCGCGCGGATTGCACACGTTCCAGGACTCGGAGACCTTTCGAATGCCTAAACCAGCGGGTGGCATGTGGGCACCAGTGGTGGCCATAACTGGATGTTCATGCATGGCCCAGGATCCCTTTGGGGGTCCCTG